TTGTACCTCACCCTCCCTGCCTAAGATACCCCTTATGCCACTTGTGGCTGCACCTTTGCCTACAGACGGAGCAAGCCCATGTGCAGTCACAGCAGCTGTGACCTGCAAAGGCAGCTCTGGGGAAGGAGTATCCTGTATCATCAGAAATTCCCTCCTCAGTCAGAAAAAGATGACCAGGATTTCCATTGCAGATAAGTACCTGCTTAGCCCCAGGTATACTGTGCTGAGCTGTGGCTTTTGAAAAAAGGAGGTTGTATGATTCTCTGCTCTGGGTCTTTGCAGTGAATATAAGGCACAGAGCAGGGATCTGGGGCCTACTTGCTCCAGGACTGCTTTTTCCCCGCACAAAGCTGTTTACACCACATACATTTACCGAGCAGTTTCTGTAGACCAAAGCCTGTGACAAGCAATGGGAATGGTAAATATCAGATACTTAAGACCAGTGACAAAATGGGGGAAAAAATATGTACAACTCATACCTTAAAGAAAAAGCTAATCTCCTTAAATAATAAAACCCAGTAGAAAAATGAGAAAAGGACATGAATTATTAGTTTACAGATGGGATAATACATATGAAAGAATGTCCAGTCTCATTCACTATGGAAATGCGTAGTAAAACATTTTCCACTTATGAGACTGGCAACAAAACAAAACCGAAGTAGTTGATAACACATTCTGGTGGCAGGACTGTAGGGAGACAGTTATTCCTAGACAGTGGTTGACATAATTTGGGATATTTTTGTTATAGACTGACACTTGTATATAGAGCAATATTGCAATATTTCCCCAAACTACTTATTTATTGATCCAAAATCCGACTTCAGGGAATTTATCTGACAGATACACTTGGCATTTGTGTGAAATGACCCATGTATTGGATTAGTTCTTACAGGGTTGATTATAATAGCAAAAAGTTAGAAACTGTGCAAGTGTCCATCAATGGGGATCTCTTATGCATGGAATATTGCATAGCTGTGAAGGAAAACACGGTCATTCTTTACATACTAATACGGAAAGATCTTCAAGATCCATTGTGAACAGAAAAAGCAAGATACACAGCAGTTTGTATAGAATGTTATCCTTTGTGTACGCAAGAACAAATAAGAATATATTCATTTTTTGAAATTTAATAAACACTTGTATAGCACTGGCTTTGTGTCAGACACTTTATAAGCATTAACTTAATCTTTTTAATCTGATGAGTTAGATACTATTATTTCCCCCATTTTACAGATTAGGACGCCAGGACCAGAGCAGTTAAATAATTAAAGATCACACTGATAATCTAGTGGAGGAGTCAGAATTCAAATCAGGCCCTGCAGCTTTAAAGTTCACATTCTTAACCACCATATTAAGCTGACTAATAATAGACTAATTACTTGGTGGGGCATGGGAGGGAGAGAAGTGAGTGGATGGGGGCTTGGCTTTTGGGGTATTGTTTTCATATCTGAACCATGCAAACAAAACCTATGGAAAAAGTAAATTAGAAAAAACATGATTCTGATATTCAAGTAACAAGTGGCAGACAGTTCCAGACAAGTAATTGTATTATGTTATAGTTAAGAGTTTACTGAGGACTTAGCCAGAGTTGACTTTAGGAAGAGGAAGATCGTTTGACTTCCTGAGATAAACTAGGTATGTATAGATACATAACAAAATAGATTGGCAAGTCACAGATGGGAAAGCACTTACATACTGCCTTCCACATCATTAGCATGCAATTGGTGTCTCCAGACATGCTGTTAAGGAGACGAGGGGAGGAGAGAATTAGATAGGGAAAGGGAGAAGGGAGGAAGGCTGGGGTGTTGGAACTAAGTCCAGGAACCTAATTTACCCCTGTGTAGACTAAGCGCCACCATGATTAGAGATTTCTATGAATCTCTATGAGAGTAACTCTTTTTGGGAATTTTATTTGTAGCCCTGTATTCACTTACTAGACCCAGGTATATATGTCTGAGGGTACTTCTGCAGAAAAGACAACTTGGCCCTGGTGTCATCCCCCACCTCCTCTACATATACACGGTGGACTGGAACTGGGCTAGACATCTGACCCAGGCTAGGCTATTCAAGAGGCAGAAATAGAGGTGATGATTTAGGTGTGAACAGAGTGCTGGTCATAGGAGTTGCATTAGTGGGATAAAGAAAAGGAGAACATGGAGCCAGTGCTAGTATGTTAATTACAGAGTTTTGAATAGAGTCAGAAGGAAATCAGATATGTAAGCATTTCACCTATAGCAGATATGCACGGGACCTGTGGGAAGATATTTTCCGTGCACAATATGATGCAGAGAAGCAAAGGAAGGTGATCTGTAGTAGATACACTAAAACAGACACATGGAGAGAAGAGTTCAAGATGGAAAAAGTTTGGGCAACCTTCCCATCCTTGGTTCCAGTGCCGTGGGGGGCCCAGTTTTATTTGTGCTGTGTGTTTTTGTTTTGTGCTGTGAAATTTGCTCTCTAGTAACAAAGTAAATATACTACTTGCTGTTACTGAAGCTCTAAAACTTAGCAACTTAACACAATCATTTTACTATGCTCATTGATTCCATTAGTCAGTAATTTAGAATTTGAATATGACAAGTTAGGAATGAGTTTACTGTGTGCCATGATGCCTGGACCTCACCTGGAAGGAATCCACAGCTGGAGGTGTCCCAAACGAAGGGATACAACCTTCTAGGTGTATTCCTGTCAACACAGAAAATGATTGGGTCATCTTGTCAAAGTATAAAGTGACACTCAGCTGGACCTGGTTCCCTGCTAAGCTACCTCATGGGCAATGGGCCTTCCTCATACAGAATACATATGTTTACCTCTGGTTTATGTTAGCTATGATTGAGGGAAAGACATGGCTTCACTGGATACTTCTGGCATAAACTTCCCGAGAGCCCCTGGGCCTTATTTTCTTTAGATGGAGGCTGTAGGAAGCCAGGCTCTTAGGTTCTCATAGCACTCTCTTCTGTCTCTTCCTAACAGCAACCTAGTCCTGGGTAGAATGATTCAATATTTGCTACATTTCTACTTTCATCTGCTTGTCAACTCAGAATCCACTTTTAATCATAAAGCAGAAGCATTAGTGGATAGGTGAGGCTACTGTGTGAGAAAAAAATGATTCAAGGTCAGCACAGTAGAGAAAACAGTTGTCCACCTTTAGCTTATTCTCATCAAAGGTCTCCCATTGGAGGGTAGAGAAGGAACCTGTCTTGGTAACTAATTCCTGGTGGTCCCTTTGATCCTCCTTCCCTTTCCCAAGAAATCCTGTCACTGGGCAGCCTGATCCTGCTGCCATCTCTGTCTTGGGCTCTGGTGCCAATGAGTCCAGGAACTGGGACATGCTATTGGGGAAAATGGCCTTCCACTTTGCTTTATCATTAATGCATTGAACAATAGCTGTGTGCAGAGCATAGAGCTAGGCCTTGCATAGGAGAGAAGAATCACATAGTACAGAAATCAGCTCGTCAGGAGCACATACTCTGGTCACTGAGAAGATATACAACTGATACCTAAATAACAATAATACAGGACAGAACGCAGTAACATCCAAAGACTTAGGAGTAAGAAAACCAGAGAACACTCTAGGCTGGGAACATCTGGAGTTGTTCTTGGACGAGGTGGACGTGAAGGCTAGGCAGGAATTCAAGAGGCAGAAATAGAGGCAATGATTTAGGTGTGAACAGAGTGCTGGTCATAGGAGTTGCAGTAGTGGGATAAAGAAAAGGAGAACATGGAGCCAGTGCTAGTATGTTAATTACAGAGTTTTGAATAGAGTCAGAAGGGAATTGGAGGTCTTCAGAAGCATTTAGGCACTTGAGGCAAATATTAAGAAATGTACTGCAGGAAGAAATCAGCTCGTCAGGAGCACATACTCTGGTCACTGAGAAGATATACAACTGATACCTAAATAACAATAATACAGGACAGAACGCAGTAACATCCAAAGACTTAGGAGTAAGAAAACCAGAGAACACTCTAGGCTGGGAACATCTGGAGTTGTTCTTGGACGAGGTGGACGTGAAGGCTAGGCAGGAATTCAAGAGGCAGAAATAGAGGCAATGATTTAGGTGTGAACAGAGTGCTGGTCATAGGAGTTGCAGTAGTGGGATAAAGAAAAGGAGAACATGGAGCCAGTGCTAGTATGTTAATTACAGAGTTTTGAATAGAGTCAGAAGGGAATTGGAGGTCTTCAGAAGCATTTAGGCACTTGAGGCAAATATTAAGAAATGTACTGCAGGAGGATTATTTTAGAAGAAATTTATACAGTGGCCCTACTGGGGTCTATGCATCATGGGATGGGGGAGCATTGTGTGGGTGTAGCGGGTGTTGGACTCAACCAGGTCATCTACTGTCAGACAACAAAGCCCAGCTAGACAGTCTCTGTTAGCAGCCAGCTCTCTGCAGGGACTAGAACCAGCTGTCTGAGAGAAAGGGTTTTTACCTCTCAGTATCTCAGTCAGCAGTGTTTGAATGAATGAAAAGCTCTCTGTGAACAGCTCCTGCAGCTACGGTTTTGCTAATTTTCTGCCACCACCCCCACCTTCCTGCGTCCTCCCTTACCTCTCTACCACCCCCAAGCCCAGCAACTTGAACAAGATTCCTCCAGCTTTGGAAAAAGGGCTGCTTAAGTTTACTTCATCCCTTCCCACCCCTATCCCCATACACTACATACTTCTATACACATAGGTGTCTCCTTATGGTTAGAAGCAACAGCACAATCAAGCCATTTTAAAAAAAAAAAAAAAAAAGGAAAGTATCTTGCTTCTGAGAAAAAAGGGAAAATTTTTAAAAGGCCAGATAATCTCAAAAGGCTGGCTATTCGCAGCTCTGTGATTTTAATTAATCGCTTCCGTGTATTCCACACAGTAACTGGTGAGAAAGTTGGCTTAGGGATTCCATTGGGTGGTCGACCCATAGCCGGCCAATCCTGGGCTCCAACCCATTCATTGGCGTCTTGGGTCTGTGGTGACAGTGTCTACGTGTCGCACGCGCCGCAGGCCTGCACCTCGCAACCAATGGAAGGTGAAGAAAACTTTTTCTTCGCCTACGTGTGACAGCGTCTTCTCTGGTTGTGACGGTGCCCACGGGCGGGCTAGGGAGAAGAACAACAAAAAAGCATCATTTGAGCGACAGACAAGATAAGAAAACGCCGAAGTTTATTCTAGAAGGTCGGAAAGGGAGGGACAGGAGTGGGGCGGTATGGAGCGAAGGAACTGGAGGCGGGGAAAGGCGGAGCTCGAGGAGAGGGGAAACTTCCTGGGGGGGAGCCGCTCCGTGAACTACTGTACCTCTGGTAGCACAGCCTGATTCACCGGGGGCTGGAAGGGAAGGGAGGGAGGCCATGGAAGAATATCAAGTGACACTGAAGAAACTCAACTCTGACATTGAAGAAGCGAGCCGAGGAGGGCGGAAAACTGCCTCCCTGATGGTTGTATTGCTGGCTCATTCCACGGAATGTGTACTGAATCAGTCTATCAGGAGATAACTTGAACCGGGAGAGGAAGGACGTGCCCAAAATAGAAGCTGGAACGCTGATGATCCCAACACGGGTTATAGGAAAGTTTGCCTTCGATCACTACTGTGGTGCCAAGTCTCCGGTCCCTGCCTCTCCCGAGTGACTCGCTTGGGGCGCTTATGGAGCCAGCTGCTTCCCGGCACTTGTCCCCACCAGACGCGCTTCTCTTCTCTCTCCTCAGCTTGTTTGCATTGGGCTCAGGTAGGTGCAAAGAGAGAGAGTGAAGAACTACTGCAGTCGGGCTCACTTACCTTTCGTGCTGCAAGCTCACTGAATTTATACCAGCGCGGACCTATAGAAATACAGTGAAGGCCACCGAGGCAAACTGCCTATACAAATTAAGTTTTTGAGTAGGCTCATTTTAAAACATAAAAAAGAAACAGATGAAATAGATTTTAATAACAGATTTTGTTTAACCTCAAATAACCAAAATGTTATTATTTAAGCTTATAATTAATGTAAAGTATTATCAATGAAATATTTAACACTTTCATTCTAAATTCTCAAAATTGTAGTTTACATTTACAGCACGTCAACTGGGACTACCTAATGGCTACCACAGTGGACAGTTCAAGTTTATATTACACTGAAGGCATTTTACTAGATTGGAGAATAAAAGAAAACTGTAAACACGAGTGTAGGGGGTGCTCAGTCTGTGCTTCTCAATTTTGCTCATAAAGCATTAGTAGCCCCAGTAGATACCCCTATTAGTGATATATTGCTGTTGACCAGCCACAGCTACTGGCCCCCAGAATCCTCAGCCCCAGAAACCCCTGTAGCCTTAGAATGTCTGTCCCTTACAATGTCCACTTTCTTTCCTGCCTTAGGTATTAGATACTTGTCTGATTCTACCTTTTTGTTGAACAGTCCAATTTACTGTCGTGGGGCCAGCTGATCCAATCCTGGCCATGGTGGGAGAAAATACCATGTTTTGCTGTCACCTGTCACCTGAGAAAAATGCTGAGGACATGGAGGTGCGGTGGTTCCGGTCTCAGCTCTCTCCCGCAGTGCTCGTATATAAGGGCAGGCAAGAGAGAACAGAGGAGCAGATGGAGGAGTACCAAGGAAGAACAACCTTTGTGAGTGAAGATATCAGCAAGGGGAGCATGGCGCTAATCATACACAATGTCACAGCCCATGACAGTGGCATCTACCACTGTTATTTCCAAGAAGGCAGATCCTATGATGAGGCCATCATGCGTCTGATGGTGGCAGGTGCATCATTTCATTTTGCTTGGTTAATTTTTCAGTGTGACTCTTCTCTCCTAATCTCAGGCCCATGCAGATCAGCAGATTTTTCCTAAAATCCCCTTTAAACAGGGAGGGTGGCTTTATCCTGCCCAAGGGCCAGATGAGTGGGTTTGCCCTGCTAAACTGTGGGCATCAAGTCTTGAGAGGCACACACAGAACTCAGCTGGAGCCTTGAGTGGGAAGAATGTTTAATGCCTACAGATTGTTCTTATGTTCTTATGCCTGTTTCTCAGAGCTCTCTAAGGGTCTTCCTCAGTAATATGTTTTAGAATTAGTTAGACATTTTTATTGTGAAACATAACACATACAGAAAAATGTATAACATTAATGCACAGATTGCTGAGTTACTAATGTTGAAAGTATTCAACAAATAGAATACTTCCTTTTCCTGACTTGTTAGTTTGGACTGCCATAACAAAATACCATCAACTGGGTGGCTTAAACAACAGAAACTTATTTTCTCACAGTTCTGGAGGCTAGTAATCCAAGATCAGGGTGTCAGTAAGTTTGGTTTCTCCTGAGGCCTCTCTCCTTGGCCTTAATGGATGGCCACCTTCTTGCTGTGCCCTCACATGGTCTTCCCTCTGTGCCTTCATATGGCCTTTCCTCTGTAGGTACCCAACCGTTGTAACTTTCTCTGTGTGACCTGATCTCCTCTTCTTATAAGGACACTAGTCAGATTGGGTAAGGACCCAACCTAATGACTTCATTTTAGCTTAATTCCCTCTTGAAAGGCTCTGTCTCTAAATGAAGTCATATTCAAAGGTACTGGAGGTTAGGGTTTCAATATATGAATTTGGGGGGACACAATTCAATGCATACCATGGCCCTTCACAAAACCCCAAATGAAACGTGCTAGGACTAGAAGTGCTGTGTAATAAGAAATATGATAGTACAAATTTATTTTCCAGTGTCTGTGGTATATAAATTTTTTATATACATTTTCAATTGCTCCATAAATTTTTCATCAGGTCCAAAGAGAAGTTTTTCACATTTGATGTCAATCCATTTCTTCTTTCTAGTCAGTTGTTTTCCATGACTTTGAAGATCAAACATCATCATTGACCCTTTTCATTCCTTTCTTTTCTCCTCAGCACATACTATCTTCTTACATAGTATGCAGTTTACTTACTTATCCTGTTTATAACATCTCTTCCACTAAAATGTAATCTCCATAAAGGATTGTTTTCTATTTTGTTCCTGCTGTATCGCAATTTCTAGAACAGAACCTGGAGCGTGATAGGTGCTCAACAAATATTATTTGAATTAATAAATGAATCTGCCCCATAAAACTGTGAGTGGTCATCACATCATGCTTGAGCTATCTCTATTATAAGCCTGAGGTCTTTCCTTTTTTTAACCTGTTCCCATAAGACCTCTGCTTAGTACATCATCTTTGATGTAGCCTCAGGAAAGGCTAGGTGACAAGCAGACTTAAATCTCAGCAGGTTAAAATAACAAAGGTCTATTTATAATACATGAAACATGTCCTTCAGGACTCTGCTGGGGCTCTACTTCACACAGACCTCCCTCAGGAACCTGGAGCTTTTCATTTCACCTGTGCAGAGGGAAAAAACTGGCAAATCACTGACTGGATCATAAAGCCTCTGCCTGTGAGGTGCTACCTATTATTTATACTCATGTTTCATTGACCAAGGCAAGTCACATGGTTATGCCTCATTGTACAGGGGAGGGGAAATATGCTCCTAACCATGTGCCCAGGTGAACAGAAATTTCTTGATAGCACTAACAGTACCCTTTCAGGCTTAATTCTGACTCAAGAGATGTTGACTCAAGAGATGTTGACTCAAGAGATGTTAAGCTTTATAGTCCAAATCACAAAAAGAATCAGTCAGGATCTGACAACACCAGCAATTATTCACCACTATATCTGCAGCATCTGGCAGAGTGCTTGACACCTAATAGGCAATTAGTAGTTGTAATGAAGGAGTGAAAAAAATGAATTGCTGATACCAAAATATCAGAGTGGGAAAATTTATCCTTGGGCTCCCTTTCATCACAAACATTCATAAATTTATTCAGCATATATTTAACAAGCATCTCCTATGTTCAAGTCACTGTTCTAGAAACTGAGGATAAATCAGTGAACAAAATACACAAAGATCTCTATCCTCTTGGAGCTGACATTCTCGCAGGTGTAGAGAGCAATAAAATAATTAACTAAACATTTTATATACAGTGATGAATACAGTAGAAAAAATAAAACAGAGGAGAGATTGAGAGTGCTAGGTGGCATTGGAAGAATGGTCAGGGACAGCTTCATGGAAAAGATGGCAATTGAGCAAAATCAGAATGAAGTGAGGGAAGGATCCAAGTACCTCTGGGGCTTACAGAGAGGATCCAGCATGACATCCTATGTAGCACAGCACTGGGTACATGGGTTCTGGATAGGGGACCGTATACTTTATCATGCAAACTGCATGATTTTGACAATGAGAGGAGGCACTGTGAATAATTACATCAGGGCAACTGGAATAAATAAGGACTGCCCAGCAAACTACAACATATGGACATCTCATTTCTTGATTAATATTATTTTTCCCTTTCTCTGAATAGTAATTGTAGTGAGAGGGACTGACATGTAAATAGATGATTTCATTAAAACATGATTAAGTACTAAGCCAGTTGACCCCAAAAAGAAAATGAGAATTTGGCCAAGAGGAATTTGGCATGACTTCAAAATACAAAGTGGCATTTAAATTGGGATTTGTAGGAGTTTATTAATAACAGCTTTAAGATAATGGCCTCACTCCAGGGGTCAATGTATTGAACATTAAAAGAAACTTTTGAAGACTGGAAAAACCTTTAAGACACATAAATCAATGGCATTTCAAGCCATCAGACCCATGGAAGTGAGGTTTGGGGACAGTGGGACCTTCCTGGGGAGCCTCAAATCGTAGCTGGTAGGAGACCCCGTTTTTGTTACACAGAAGGGCAACTTCGTATCTGATTAATACAAAATATGTGGAAGAAGGGGTTTCTCAAGCCTGGATGTCCTGACTGTTCACAGCAACACTGTATAGCTGATTTGTATCAGTTTGTATGTGACAGGAACCCTCTATCCTTTCCCTGTAAGCATGACCCTGGCTTGGCCTGGCCTGCTCTACTCTGAATTGACTTGTGGCAGAATTGTTTGTCTGTTTATTTTGTTTGTTTGTTTGGTTAATTGGCTGGCTGGTTTTGTCCTTCAGTCTGTTGTCGCATACTTGCCCTTATTGAATGCTATGGAATGTTCTGTAGAATTTTTTTCCTATTTACCATGGTGTTTTGAGTCTTATCCCACTTCAGAGTTTCAGAGAAGCTGTATGTCTGCAGCTCTCTTATACCTCTATTTTCTCTTTTAATGATAGAATAAGTTAGGAAGAGTCTGGAATCTTAAGACTTTTTATGATGTTCTGCTTACTCTGAGGAGGAGAGATTGATATCTTAAGGATCCTAGGAGCATATATCTCTTTCTAATATGTGGATGTTTTCAAGGGACTATAAGAAAATCACCTAAGTACCTGAGCCCCTGGGAGGTGAATATCTCTGAATTGGGGTAAGGGGTGGCTTTGTCCAATAGCTCTGCCCATTCTCCAAAAAGCCAGTAGCTCCTTATGATTATCAGACAGCTATGGTGATGTAAAGCCCTAAACCAGGAGAGAAGAAATTAGTCATCTTGAGGTTAAAAAGTTTCCTAAGACTCTGCCAGCCTGGCAGGTTTCTGTCCTTATTGTACTATTCTAGAGCTTCAGAAGCCAAAGCTACTGAGAAGTCCTCCCCAACTGAAAGTGAAATCCTAAACCTGCTTATTTCAGGTCAGAGTGGACACACTCATACAGACGTGAGAAAATTAACATCTCTAACTGAATGGATTAAACAAACATTTATTAGGAAGCATCTAGATGCTGGCTACTTTGATGAGGTCCATAGGTAGAGCACAGAAAGTACAATGTCATTTTTCCCCTTTGAGATCTCATAGTTTATTTGGCATATTGGTCTCCTGGTATTCTCCAGCATCAAAGTTTTCTTCCTTCCCTTCTTTATTTCCTCCCTCCTTTCTTCTTTCTTTCTTCCTCTGTCCCTCCTGCTTTTCCTCCTTTCTGCCCTTCACAAAGGGGTGCTGCTGGAATGCATGAAATATGCATAATCAGTTTCTTTGGATGCTTGCCACTTGCTCCCTTCTCCCTCCACTCAGCTCTCATCATTTAAGAGTTAATCTAAGACACTTTGGCTAAGACACCATTGCCTTTTTAGCTAAGCCCTGGTCTCTCTCTCTAGGCCTGGGCTCTGAGCCCCTCATTGAAATGAAGGGCCACGAGGATGGGGGCATCCGACTGGAGTGCACTTCTGTAGGATGGTACCCAGAGCCCCATACAGTGTGGAGAGACCCTGATGGTGAGATCATGCCTACCCTGGAGGAGGATCATGTTCAGGACGCAGGTGGCCTCTTCATGGTCACCACGGCTGTGATCATCAGGGACCGCTCTGTGAGGAACATGGCCTGCTCTGTCAACAACACCCTGCTTGGCCAAGAGAAGGAAACTATGATTTTCATTCCAGGTTAGTTTCCTGCCCTCTGGAGGTTCATTATGTGGAGACAGGATCCTCAGCAGACAGACTGGAGCCAGGAACAAGGGTAAGAGGGTAGAGGCGTGGGTGGAAGGGGGTCAGTCCCTGAAGAGCTGGAGGCTAAAGCTGAGCTGAAGCCTTTCCCCTTGTCACAAGGGGAAAATCAAATAGTCTCAAAACACATGAGTAGGAACATCTTCTCTGAGGGTAAATCTGATAGATTTTTCCCTGTTCTGGTTCTTATCCTGCAGCAATTCTTAATCATTTAGAATACCTGTAAAATGTTGATACTGTTACGGGCAGGTGGCCATCTACACCCAGAGGTGCTGCCTGCTAAAACTCTCCCTTCATGCCTATGATTTCCTAAGGGACAGAGATAGGGGAATTCTCTATCTACAGACATTCATAAATTCATTCAACAAATACTTAACAAACATCACCAGTGTTCCAGGCACTGTTCCAGAAACTGAAGATAAATCAGTTAACAAAATATACAAAGATCCCTACCCTCATGGAACTCACATTCTACAGGGTTCAAAGAACAATAAATGAGATAATTAATAAATGAAATGAAATAATTATTTAAGCTGGAGATTATATCAGTCAGTGGTAAATACATAAAAAAGTCACAGGGGGAGAGGAGCCAAGATGACAGCGTGAGTAGAGCAGTGGAAGTCTCCTCCCAAAACCATATATATTTTTGGAAATACAACAAATACAACTATTCCTAAAAGAGAGACCAGAAGATATAGTACAACAGCCAGACTACATCTACATCTGCAAGAATCCAGCGCCTCACGAAGGGGGTAAGATACAAGCCATGGCCCGGCGGGACCTGAGCGCCCCCTCACCCCAGATCCCTGGCAGGAGGAGAGGAGTCGGAGCGGGGAGGGAGAGGGAGCCCAGGACTGCTAAATACCCAGCCCTAGCCATCCGCACCCAGAGCGCAGACACACAATGTGTGGTGTGCTGGATACTAGGGAAATGGGACAGTAAAACCTGTGAGTGGGTCCCCGCAGCCAGTGCCCCTGGGACAAAAGAAAAGCGAGTGCTCTTTGAAAGTCTTAAAGGGACAGGGCCCTCATGGCTCGATGGAAGTGTCCCTGCACACTCAGCCCAGCAGCTGGGAATCCCAGGGAACTCCGGGCACCCTAAGCCCCTGGGCAGCAGCACAGCTTGGACGCCCCTCACGGCAATAAACAGCCTCCTGCCTGTTCTCCCTCCAGCGCAGCCCTGCCATAGCGGAGCAGCAGCCTGAAGCTGGCCATGCCCACAGCAGCCGTGCACAGCTCCACAGCAACCCGGGCAAGAATCACACTGTTCACCATGTAAGAACTTATTCACTATGTAAGAACTTGTTCACCATGTAAAAACTTGTTCGTTACGCTTCAGAAGATTGGAGACTGTTGAGAATTAGGCTTGGGGTTGATTAATGATTGTGCATTGAGTCCCCTATATAGAATTTTATTGTTGTTAACAACCATATGATCAACAAATATGAGAGATGCCCTCTCAAAAAAAAAAATAATAATCAGAAAGCCCGTCTGTGTGCAACTGCCCAGCACAAGCCGCTAGGGGTCGCCATTCTCACAGGAGAGGAAGGCCACAAACTAGCAAGAAGGGATGTTCTCCCAGCTGACACACATGCAAACTCTCCACAACTACCTCTATTGCCATGAAAAGGCAGAAGAATTTGATCCAGACCAGAATCACACAGACATCCTCCCCTGAGAAAGAACCTGGGGAGATAGACCTAACCAATCTTCCTGAAAAAGAATTCAAAATGAAGATCATAACCATGCTGATGGAGCTGCAGAAAAAAATGCAATTGCTAACTGACAAAGTAGGGAGGGAGACTACAGAAATAAAATAGGACTTAAAAGCAGAATGGATGAGATGCAAGAGGCCATTAATGGCACAGAAACCAGAGAACAGGAACGCATAGAAGCTGAAGCAGAGACAGAGAAAAGGATCTCCAGGAATGAAACGATATTAAGAGAACTGTGTGACCAATCCAAAAGGAACAATATCCGTATTATAGGGGTACCAGAAGAAGAAGAAGAGAGAAACAGGGATAGAAAGTGTATTTGAAGAAATAATTGCTGAAAACTTCCCCAGACTGGTGGAGGAAATAATTGCTCAGACCATGGAAACACACAGAACTCCCACAAGAAGGGACCCAAGGAGGACAACACCAAGACACATAATAATTAAAATGGCAAAGATCAAGGACAAGGACAGAGTTTTAAAGGCAGCTAGAGAGAGGAATAAGGTCACCTACAAAGGAAAACCCATTAGGCTATCAGACTTCTCAACAGAAACCTTACAGGCCAGAAGAGAATGGCATATATATTCAAAGTGATGAAACAGAAGGGCCTTGAACCAAGGATACTGTATCCAGCACGATTATCATTTAAACATGAAGGAGGGATTAAACAATACCCAGACAAGCTAAAGTTGAGGGAATTTGTCTCCCACAAACCACCTCTACAGGGTATTTTAGAGGGACTGCTCTACATGGGAGCACTCCTAAGACTAAATAAATGTCACCAGAGAAAATAAAATCACAGCAAGAAAGCAGACCAACCAAATACTAACTAAAGGCAAAAAATAAAATCAGCTACTCAAAAAAGCAGTCAAAGGAAACACAAAAGAGCACAGAATAAAACACCTAACATATAAAGAATGGAGGAGGAAGAATAAGAAGGGAGAAAAATAAAGAATGACCAGACAGTGTTTAAAATAGCTCCATAAGCAAGTTAACTTAGATGGCTAGATAGTAAAGAAGCTACCCTTGAACCTTTGGTAACCATGAATCTAAAGCCTGCAATGGCAATAAGTACATATCTTTCAATAGTCACCCTAAATGTAAATGGACTGAATGCACCAATCAAAAGACACAGAGTAAGAGAATGGATAAAAAAGCAAGACCCATCTATGGTGATTACAAGAGACTCACCTCAAACCCAAAGACATGCACAGACTAAAAGTCAAGGAATGGAAAAAGATATTCCATGCAAACAACAGGGAAAAAACAGGTGTTGCAGTACTAGTATCAGACAAAATAGATTTCAAAACAAAGAAAGTAACAAGAGATAAAGAAGGACATTACATAATGATAAAGGGGTCAGTCCAACAAGAGGATATAACCATTATAAATATGTATGCACTCAATACAGGAGCACTAGCATATGTAAAATAAATACTAACAGAATTAAAGGAGAAAATAGAATGCAATGCATTCATTTTAGGAGACTTCAACACACCACTCACTCCAAAGGATAGATCCACCAGACAGAAAATAAGTAAGGACACAGAGCCTCTGAACAACACAATAGAACAGATGGACCTCATAGACATCTACAGAACTCTACATCCAAAATCAACAGGATACACATTCTTCTCAAGTGCACATGGAACATTCTCCAGAATAGACCACATACTAGACCACGAAAAGAGCCTAAGTAAATTCAAAAAGATTAAAATTCTACCAACCAGCTTTTCAGACCACAAAGTATAAAACCAGAAATAAATTGTACAAGGAAAACAAAAAGGCTCACAAACACATGGAGGCTTAACAACATGCTCCTAAGTAATCAATGGATCAATGACCAAATTAAAATAGAGATCAAGCAATATATGGAAACAAATGACAACAACAACACAAAGCCCCAACTTCTGTGGAAAGCAGCAAAAGCAGTCTTAAGAGGAAAGTATATAGCAATCCAGGCATATTTAAAGAAAGAAGAACAATCCCAAATTGTTCAAAATTATCAAAATTGGAAAAAGAAGAACAAATGAGGTCTAAAGTCAGCAGAAGAAGGGACGTAATAAAGATCAGAGAAGAAATAATTAAAATTGAAAAGAATAAAACAATAGAAAAAAATCAGTGAAACCAAGAGCTTGTTCTTTGAGAAAATAAACAAAATAGATAAGCCTCTAGCCAAACTTATTAAGAGAAAAAGAAAATCAACACGCATCAACAGAATCAGAAATGAGAATGGAAAAATCATGACAGACTCCACAGAAATATAAAGAATTATTAGATAATGCTATGAAAACCTATATGCTAACAAGCAGGAAAATCTAGAAGAAATGGACAACTTCCTAGAAAAATACAACCTTCCATGACTGACCCAGAAAGAAACAGAAAATCTAAACAGACCAATTACCAGCAATGAAATTGAAGTGGTAATCAAAAAACTACCCAAGAACAAAACCCCCGGGCCAGATGGATTTACCTTGTAATTTTAGCAGACATACAGAGAAGAAATAATACCCATTCTCCTTAAAGTATTCCAAAAAACAGAAGAAGAGGGAATACTCCCAAACTCATTCTATGAAGCCAACATCACCCTAATACCAAAACCAGGCAAAGACCCCACTAAAAAAGAAAATTACAGATGAATATCCCTGATGAACATAGATGCAAAAATACTCAACAAAATATTAGCAAACCAAATTCAAAAATACATCAAAAGAATCATACACCATGACCAAGTGTGATTCATCCCAGGGATGCAAGGATGGTACAACATTCAAAAATCCATCAAAATCATCCACCACATCAACAAAAAGAAAGATAAAAACCACATGATCATCTCCATAGATGCTGAAAAAGCATTCGATAAAATTCAACATCCATTCATGATAAAAACTCTCAACAAAATGGGTATAGAGGCCAAGTTCCTCAACATAATAAAGGCCATATATGATAAACCCACAGCCAACATCATACTGAACAGCAAGAGGCTGAAAGCTTTTCCTCTGAGATTGGGAAAAAGACAGGGATGCCCACTCTCCCCACTGTTATTCAACATAATACTGTTGGTCCTAGCCACAGCTATTAGACAAGCAAAGAAATACAAGGAATCCAGATTGGTAAAGAAGTTAAACTGTCACTATTTGCAGATGACATGATATTGTACATAAAAAACCCTAAAGAATCCACTCCAAAACTACTAGATCTAATATGTGAATTCAGCAAAGTTTCAGGATACAAAATTAATACACAGAAATCTGTGGCTTTCCTATATGCTAATAATGAACTAATAGAAAGAGAAATCAGGAAAACAATTCCATTCACAATGGCATCAAAAAGAATAAAATACCTAGGAATAAACCTAACCAAGGAAGTGAAAGACCTATACCCTGAAAACTACAGGACACTCTTAAGAGAAATTAAAGAAGACACTAACAAATGGAAACCCGTGCCATGCTCTTGGCTAGGAAGAATTAATATAGTCAAAATGGCATTCCTACCCAAAACAATATACAGATTCAAAGCAATCCCTATCAAATTACCAACAGCATTCTTCAATGAACTGGAACAAATAGTTCAAAAATTCATATGGAACCACCAAGGACCCCAAATAGCCAAAACAATCCTGAGAAGGAAGAATAAAGTGGGGGGGATCTCACCCTCCAACTTCAAGCTCTACTACAAAGGCATAGTAATCAAGACAATTTGGTACTGGCACAAGAACAGAACCATAGACCAGTGGAACAGAATAGAGACTCCAGACATTAACCCAAACATATATGGTCAATTAATATACGATAAAGGAGCCATGGACATACAGTCAGGAAATGACAGCCTCTCAACAATTGGTGCTGGAAAAACTGGACAGCTACATGTAAGAGAATGAAACTAGACCATTGTCTATCCCCATACACAAAAGTAAATTTGAAATGGATCAAAGACCTGAATGTAAGTCATAAAACCATAAAACTGTTAGAAGAAAACATAGGCAAAAATCTCTTGGACACAAACATGAGTGACTTCTTCATGAACATATCTCCCCGGGTAAGGGAAACAAAGCAAAAATGAACAAGTGGGACTATATCAAGCTGAAAAGCTTCTGTACAGCAATCAATAGAACAAAAAGGCATCCTAAAGTATGGGAGAATATATTCATAAATGACAGATCCAATAAAGGGTTGACATTCAAATATATATAGAGCTCACTCACCTCAACACACATAAAGCAAATAATCCAATTAAAAAATGGGCAGAGGAGCTGAACAGACAGTTCTCCAAAGAAGAAATTCAGATGGCAAACAGACACATGAAAAGGTGCTCCACATCGCTTGTCATCAGAGAAATGCAAATTAAAACCACAATGAGATATCACCTCACACCAGTAAGGATCACCACCATCCAAAAGACAAACAACAACAAATGTTGGCAAGGTTGTGGAGAAAGGAGAACCCTCCTACACTGCTGGTGGGAATGTAAATTAGTTCAACCATTGTGGCAAGCAATATGGCGGTTCCTCAGAAAGCTCAAAATAGGAATAGCATTTGACCCAGGAATTCCACTTCTAGGAATTTACCCTAAGAATACAGCATCCCAGTTTGAAAAAGACATATGCACCCCTATGTTTATTGCAGCACTATTTACAATAGCCAAGAAATGGAAGCAACCTAAGCGTCCATCAGTAGATGAATGGATAAAGAAGATGTGGTACATATACACAATGGAATATTATTCAGCCATAAGAAGAAAACAAATCCTACCATTTGCAACAACATGGATCGAGCTAGTGAAATAAGCCAGGCGGAGAAAGACAAGTACCAAATGATTTCACTCATATGTGGAGTATAAGAACAAAGAAAAACTGAAGGAACAAAACAGCAGCAGAATCACAGAACCCAAGAATGGACTAACAGTTACCAAAGGGAAAGGGACTGGGGAGGATGGGTGGGAAGGGAAGGATAAGGGTGGGGAATAAGAAAGGGGGCCTTACGATTAGCATGTATAATGTGTGGGGGGGGACACGGGGAGGGCTGTGCAACACAGACAAGGCAAGTAGTGATTCTATAGCATCTTACTACGCTGATGGACAGTGACTGTAATGGGGTTTGTGGGGGTGACTTGGTGAAGGGGGGAGCCTAGTAAACATAATATTCTTCATGTAACCATAGATTAATGATACCAAAAAAAAAAAAGAGTCACAGGAAGGGATAGTAAATGTTAGGGGCATGGGAGAGTTATAATTATAAATAGTATAGTTGGGGAAGGCTTCATTGAAAAGATGGTGGTTGAGCAAGTGAGGAATGAGCTGTACAGATATTTGAGGACTAAGCAATCCAGGTAGAAGGATAAGCACATACAAATGGCCTGAGGCAGGAACATATCTGGCCATTTCAAGGAGTCCCAAAAGGCCGGTGTGGCTGGAGTAGACTGAGTGCAGGAATAGTTGGAGGAAATAAATTCAGGGATATAATAGGTCCAGATTGTATAGGACAATGTAGGCCACAAATGGGCTTTGACTTTTAGTCTGGGTGAGATAGGAAACACTGCAGGGTTTTGAGCAGAGAAACAATACGATCTCACTTAAGCTGCTGTGCTGATGATAGACTGGAGAGGGTAAGGGCAGAAGCAGGGGTGAGGGAATTGTCACAGTCCAGGCAAAAAGGGATGCTGGCTTGTACTGGGGTGATGCTATGGTAATTCAGCTGGTTAGCTTTTATTCACCCTAGTCTTTCCCATGGTGACTCCACATGTTTCTGCTTTTGTGTCTCCTGGGCTCCCAACTCCGAACTAGGTCAGAGTCAGTCCCTTTCCCTACCTGGGGTTTTTGAGAGGGAAGCTGCTGGAGCAGCGACCCGAGGGAGCATGTCAGATGTTCTTCCTGAGGGGCGCTCTCATCCTGGGTCTCCTTTTTCTCAGTAAATGGAACATTTCTGGCTCCCTTTTCAGAACCCTTCATTCCCAGAACATTTCCCTGGATAGTGGTCCTGGCTGCCATCCTGCTTGGTGTGCTTCTTCTCATTGCTGGGAGCACCTGTCTCATCAAGAAGCTACACAGGGAAAAAGAGGTTCTGTCAGTGGAAAAAGAAGTTGAAAATGAAGAGAAAGAAATTGCACGTAAGAACTGGGGAAAGAACATGTGGTAAAAGAGAAAGAACATCAGATAAAAGGTAAAAGAGTAGAAGGACAGCTCATTGTCTTACCAAGGACACAGCTCTGATAGCTAGAAGCCTAGAAAACAGGAAATGAACAGAGACAGCAGCAAGAGCTTGGAACTCTCATTCCTAGTACTTAATCCCTCAGAGCTTGTTTTCTAACATTCTGCAAATATTGCATCTGTTCACCTGGCTACATACAGCACTGTATTGTTGAACAAAAGCGATCCTAAATAAGTACTGGGAATATCCAGTCACCTGATCTTCTGTCATTTCTGGTGTTTTGACAATTCCATAGACAAGGGAGTAAGGACAATGGTGGTCATAGAAAGAGTCAAACTCAAATTCTTAGTTCTTCTATTGGGGACATTTATTTGTGTCTGTTTATTTTTCAGAGCAACTTCAAGAATTGCGTAAGTTTGGCATTTCCTGAACTACTCCATGCAGTCTGTATTCTGCTCAGTTAGCTGTTATCTTGAGAAGCTCACCTCTGTCTGTCCCATTGCAGGATGGAGAAGAACACTCTTACATGCTGGTGAGTGCTTCTGACATTTCCTCAGATCCCAAGCTTTCTCCCCACTAGCCAGCCAACTGGATGTTAGAGAAGATGAACAAGGGGGTACAAGGCTGGCTGGGAGGCAACCTAGAGTTGGGGTTGGTCTATTAGCAGTATCCCACTCAGTGCTAGACCCCAGCTTTTCTGTCAGGGGATCCCCACAGAAGCTTATTTTCAATTCTATGGCTTACTTCCTACAAACAACCCTTTCTTTTTAGAATAATTTAGTCCATGATTACCAGAGGTCTTCACACATAGTGAACCTCCCGCAAGTTTTAGTTGCTGATGCTCTTTGGATCCTGAATTAATTTGGGAGAAGAAAATACTGGCTTAGCTATTTATAACCTGAAAGATAGTATAGACTCTGCACAGTTGAAGAACCAGGTGTGGGAAAGGCAATAAGCTTCTCCAAGCCTGTCTCAAGGGTATACAAATAGATGGCTAGAAATGCCTTCCTGCTCCACAAGAGTGCTATAGATAGCAATCTGTATACAGCCTTCGAGGGGAAGGGATTTAGGCAAATGGGAGTGCACAGAGTCCCATTTCCTCGTCTTAGTGAGCACTTTGCATTTCATGATTTTTCACCTTCTGCTCAAAAGCACCAAAGAATGCAGTCTTTACTAGATACCATGGTACTTGGATCTTTCCTCTTTCGGTGAATTTCAGAACTGTCACAGGCACGTCAACTTGGGGAAAAAAGTAAATCACTTTAACATAATAGAAATGTAGATTAGCAAATAATAACAACTATAGATGGGAAGGGAGAGGTCCACATAATGTGAGGGGTCTGAAGCATTTCCTATGTCCAGGGAGGTCATGGCTTTCGACTTCAGATCCTTCTTGTCTGAACCCAGACTGGATGGAAATAGTTCCCCTGCTTTTTGCCAAACACACTTCCCAGGCAGTAGGTTGATTTTTGTGGACGTGATCCACCTTTTTTCACTCTTGGAAGGGTGCCCTTGTTAGTTATTTAAATCAGTTGTCACCTGATTAAACTGATGGAACACAGAGGATCAAAAGGGACCCTTTACTGCCCAGAATCTGTGTAGGGAGAAATTGGCCTTAATCACTTCATTGGGATGTGGGGAGGGGATAGGGCCTCTTTGCTATTTTAAGCCAAGTTGGAAAGTTTCTAACTAAAGAGAGTACCAGAGATCATATATCTTGAATAGAAAAGGGGTTAGATCTGAGAATGTTGCAAGAAAGTGGGAGCCATTAGCTTCAGCTCATCTACTAAACATTCTACATTTCTTAGAGTCCCAGGTTTCTTCTACCTGAGGCAGTACTCCTGTCACTCAAGAGGTAGGAGTGCAGCCTTAGTAATTCTCAGTCTTGAGCTGCCTGGAATCTGGGTCAAGGAGCCTTCATGGAAAAGGCTGCCACATGGGGATTCCCCCACCAGCTTTCTGGGACTTCTCTGGGAACCAGAAATCACACAATCTCCTGAGACTCCATGCCTAAATCTAAACCAGGCCTAAACCCAATGCTTCCTCTGCAGCTGATGTGATCCTGGATCCAGACACTGCTCATCCTGAGCTCTTCCTGTCAGAGGACCGACGATGTGTGAGACGGGGCCCCTCCAGGCAGAGCGTGCCTGACAACCCAGAGAGATTCAACTGTCAGCCTTCTGTCCTGGGCCTGCCGAGCTTCTCCTCAGGAAGACATTACTGGGAGGTAGAGGTCGAAAACATGATGGTGTGGGCTGTGGGGATTTGTAGAGACAGTGTTGAGAGGAAAGGGGAGGCACTACTGGTTCCTCAGAATGGCTTCTGGACCCTGGAGATGTTCGGAAACCAGTACAGGGTCCTGTCCTGTCCTGAAAAGATTCTCCCCCTGAAAGAGCGCCTTCACCGGGTGGGCGTCTTCCTGGACTATGAAGCTGGAGATGTCTCCTTCTATAACCTGAGGGATAGATCACACCTCTATACGTGTCCCCGCTCACTGTTCTCTGGGCCCCTGAGGCCCTTCTTTAGGCTGGGGTCTGATGACAGCCCCCTGTTCATCTGCCCAGCATTTACAGGGGCCCAGGGAGTCCTGGTGCCTGAGGGAGGCCTGATCCTTCACAGTGTAGGGGCTCACAACAGCCACTAGGACCAATTTCCTGGTCTCAGAGCCACATAGAAAAATCCTGGCCATCTCTACTACCACAGCACAGTGCCCCCTGGAGTAAATTGGCCCTCCTTCCCTCTGGTCACAAAAGACAACTCCCACCAGAGGCCCTCACACTTCCTCAGGACCCAGCCCCATCTCTCCCTCATTAGGCTGCTGCTTTAGTAACCCATTTGCATGTAACCATGGAGCAGCATCCAGTCTCAGGGTAACTAGTGCTGCCATAAGGCTCCCAACCAAGAATAAAGTGTGAGAAAGTGACAGAAAGAAAACCTGCTGCTTTGACACTAGAGTGACTCATTCAGCCTGAGACTCCAGTTGACATCAGACACTATGGACTCTGGGGTGAGGGCAACAGGACACACTAAGATGTAAGCAGGGAGTGGAAACCACAACTGATTTGGAGGAAGCAAGACCAGAAAGCTGGGAGGGGGCCAATTCTGTGGACATGGGTAAGCCCAACTCTTAACAGCCAAGGGGTCCCAAAGGCTAATGGTTCCACCTATACCACCACACCGAAGATTGCCAAACACGGTAATGCTCTCCAGGCCTAGCACTGGAATGAAGAAGGATGGAGGACAAGGTACATCTGGGTCTGGCCTGGATCAGGTGTCCCTGCAATTAACAAGGTGTCACTACTCAGTTATTGAGAATGGCCTAAGGCTTAAGGTCCCAGCTGAGTAGGTGAGTACTGGACTGAGTGGATCACAAGGTTCAGGTTAAGTGGGGAGAATGCTAGTTTTAAACACTTAAAAATTGTCGAGGACTGTAAAGAGCTTCTGCTTACTGGATTATATTTGTCAATATTTATGACAGTAGAGATTGAAACTGAAATTCTGTTAAATGTATTTATTAATTTATATTAAAATAGCAATAACAAACCAATTATAAGTTAATATAAAAATATTTTATGAAAAATAACTAGTTTCTAAAACAAAATAAATTTTGTTCAGAGTGTGGCTTTCTTGAACATTTTCATAAATGTGATGTCCGGCTTACTGGAAGATGGCTAGATCCTCACATCTGCCTCTGTATTCAGTGTTCGGATATCACAGGTCCCGTAGTCTCTAGAAAATTTCACTGAACACTAGTGAGAGAATGAGAGCAAAAACAACAAACAATGTCTTAGTGTTATTATTAGGGAAATAGTATTTGCCTTGTGGATTCCTTAAAAGTGTAACAGGGACCTCCCAGAAATCTGAAAACCATGTTTTGAGAAGCAGGATAGAGGATCCTGTAACTGAGTCAGTATCGAAAATAGCCTAAATGGTAGTGTTTAGGATAATTCGATAATTAAGTAATCCAGTTGTAAAAAGTGGAAAAAAGTGGTGTGGAAAATAAAGTATTTAAAATCTCTAAAATTTTCTTACTGTAGTTACAAATGGGCACATTCTGGAAAGAACCAGGAACACTGAAATATCTGACTTGTTAAGATGGAAGACTGAATTATGTATGTGTATGTGTTGTTTTTATTTTTGGTGTTATATTATTTGAACAGTTTTCACTAAAAGCACCAGACTGAGTTGGGAAGGTAATGCTGCTAATTACTGGCTGTATTAATCTTAAGCAAATTATAGCTTTTCAGTGTTTCAGTATCATGGAAAATAAGGCTTCAAGTGGGTTGTATCTCTTTTATTATAGTTCATGAATGCTTTCACTTAAGCTGTATATATATGTTTTCACAACAGATATCTTTATCCATGATGATTTAGTGAAGCCTAGCAAGTTAAGGTGATATTTTTTTGTTCAAGGAAAATAGAGTTTTCATTCATACTTTTTTTGATACCTAATGCCTCTCTTTAAGGTGCCTTTCAAACTTAAAATGAAAATGTTTTAAGTATTTACTGAAGCTAGACATGAACCCAATCCTATACTAGCCACTATAGGATCATCATAATAGTATAAAACTTGGCCCTTCCCTCCTCTTTCAGTCTTTCATTCCTATTTGTACTTATTTGTTTACTCTAAAAGAATTTCACTCTTTGATGTGTCAACTGTGTAATGTGTGGTTCCATGAAGGAAATAAGCAGGGTGATGTTATGGAGAGGAGTTGTCGGGGAGGGAGGGTTACTTCAGATGGCAAAGGTAGAGAGGGCCTCCTGGAGGAAGTGATGGGTTTTCTGAGACTTGAGAACTAGGAAAGAACCAGCCCTGTGAGAGCTGAGAGACAGCTGCTGAGCAGAGGGAACAAGGCACACGAGTCCCCAGGCAGGAATAAACTAACTAGTTGAAGTAACATAAAGAGGCTCCTACAGTCAGAGCAGAGACTGAGAACAGGACAGGCAGGACACTGACCAAAGGAGACCCTCTGGGACCTCATAGCAAAGTGCTGAGAATCAAACAGAAGCAGTATTATGAAAAAACTAAAGCTCACATGAACAGAAAATGTCTGTAGTTACCCAAATGTGATTTTTTTTACTTCCTCTTCCCAGAAGGATTCCTCATTCTTAACAGCACAAGGAATTTGATTTTCCATAATTGCCTTCTTTTTCCTGGGGTTGAAGGCTAGGGGTGAAATGGAGTAGAGTATGGAGAAAAGGAGAATGGGCCCCAGGGACTCTTCTCTCCTTTTGGTGTCACCAGTCAAGCCTTGTATACTGATCTCAGCCCTCAGTGGCTCTCAGTTCCCCAGATACAGCAAAATTGCTTAGTATCTAAAGCCAAAAGGGACTTCCTACATATTTCTAAGAACACAAACAGAAATTAAAAAAGGATTCCTTGTTCATGATTTATTGATAATTTTTCAGTAATCAAGTGTTCACAGAAGGGAGCAGTCACTCCACTGTATGCTTCATGAACACATTCCATCCTCCTTCCCACATCTTTAACTCAAATCTTAATTGGTTGACTTCTGTTTATTTTCCAAAGAAACTCATTAAAGATTTCAGAGAATTCTGAGATTTCCCCCCATAAGCAAGCCTTTGTATCTCTTATAAAACCTCTCTTTTATTGCAGAATGGAAAAAGTACTACTATATTCAGGTCAGTGGCTCTTCATTTCTCTGGGACACTGAGCTCCTACCTCCATGGATTCAAAGCCTCAGGATACACAGAAATGAAAAATACTGACAGCAGTTTAGTGATGAGGATGGAGAGAAGAGAGATGGTGTAAACTGCTTCAATATTCTCCTTCCCCAATTAACTTCAAGGCACACTAATCTGTAGCTGATAATAAGGAAGTTGGTATGGGGGCGAGCAGGGTGGATAGGGGTTAGGGGTTGGGACCACTAGGGGCAAAGATCAGTGAACAGGTTAGAAAAGGTCTTCTGAGGATACCTGACAATCCCTAGCATGGGTCTCAATTCTCTGGATAAAAAGTTGCTTTCTAAATCTGTCACATTTACTAACTCTCAGTCTCCTCTCCTCTTCCCTTGCCACCTCCATCTCTCTCTCAGTGGTCAACTGAATACACTTTATTATTCACCCTAGAAGATCTTCAGCCATTGAGGGACTGAACTGTGGTAAATCTTATTTTCTCATTCCTCTGTGACATTATAAATTGGGTAGTTTCCAGTTCCACACACTGTCAGAGAATCCCTAGCAAGAGTGAGTCCCAGGTGCCCACAGCAGTAAGCCAGATACTATCACACCCTTTATTGGCTCTCTGCTGTCTCATGTCCTCACCTTCATTCACAGGGTTTCTGTGATCACCACCAAATAAATTGTATTCAAATCAGTGTTTCAGAGTCTTCTTCTGGGGAACTCAAGCTAGGATAAGATCTGGTAGGAGAGCATAGAGTGACAGCTATAATAGGAAGAAAGCAAGGTGAAGCCAGACCAATAATGAATTCATGGCCTGCTCCTAAAATTTCTAAATTCTGTACTTTCAGTGTTGTCTAAAGCCTGTCCTCTAGAGGCTGAACATTGCCCTATTTCGGAGGGCTCTTTCCCACTAGGTAAGAGGAAGAGAGGCTGCAATGGTGTAGATTCTGGGAAGAACTCAAGTGGCTCACACAACCCTGGTCACTTCCCTGAAGCCTCCTATTTTCTCCTTGCTCTATCTAACCTCACTTTACAGACTAAAGTTCCCTGTCTACCCCTCTTCTGTGTTCTAAGAACTCTCCACTAGTGCTTTTTGGAAGTCTTAAAGGGGCAGGACAGGACACTTAGCCCAGAGGCAGGGAATCTGGGGATCTCTGGGCACTCTAACCCCCTGGGCAACAGGGAGCACAGAGGCCCATTACGGAGATAAAGAGCCTCCCGGCCGCTCCCCCTCCAATGGGGCTCCACCATTTTG